GGAGCAAAAATTATATAGTAACCCGGGTTATAATAAATAATTTGCTCCGGGTTAGTACAAAAAATTAGAAATCTTAATCCGCTCTGTGACGGAGTGATACATAACCCGGGTTGATGCCAGAATATTATGCTCCGGTTAACAACCCTACCTACAAGATAGACAACTACAAGTACATGCAACAGAAATAATAAATAGAATAAACAAGAAGGACCTAGCCAGTTGGACAACTAAAGTACGAATTCAAAAATTACAAGATTATATGTGGACCATATATCCAATATGGGAAAAAGAAACTATATTAAAATTCAACGCGAGAAACCTCAACCTAACTGGAGAGATCATGAAATTGTTAGTAGTAAATAATATTGAAATATAAATTAATAATGAATTGGAATTTCCCATCTTGATTAGAGGAGGAAACTTAGATATTGAATCATTTATGAATTCAGAACTGTGGTATCACAAACACCAAAATAGTTTGAAAAAATATGAAGTAATGTATATTGAACAATTACTAAATGCAGATATGACAAAAATATTGAAATTAAAATGGATCCATCAATATGATATCCCAAAATACAATACAATCTGGTATACAGATCTCAGCAACAAAATAGAACAAAAATGGGAGTACATACAGAATTCATCAAACATAAATCCTATTAACAGACTAACTTTAGTAAACAAATCTTCAAATTTAAAGGGGAAAATAACAACTACAAATCACTCGCAAGAACCTATTATTGGAAAAATAACTCGTGAGCTCAAATCACGTGGCCAAACTGTAGTGATGAGGTATATGATACAAGAAACAACAGAACAGGAGACACTCTTGCCACTTGCAACATGTGAAAGATGTCCTTTACAAGAATCACTCTTTACACTCAATACAAAAACTAAAGGAACAAACACTAAATACTGCGCAATCACAGCAAATGTCACAAAAGTTAGTTATTTACCAACTAGAAACTCACAGGTCTCAATTGGTAATTCAGAAGATAAAAGAATCAAAACCAGAATTATAATATCTCCTCGCTCTCTAAGATACTACCATGAAAATAATTCAGAACCAATTATTAAAAAACAATTTAAACAGAATATAGATAATCACACATTTTTGCAAAAAATCATTGATACCAACACACAAACTTTAGAAATGCTAGAAGAATGTACTAGAAAACTACAAAGAAGCAAACGAATAATAGCATACACTGATGGATCTCTTATCACAAATATGATCTCAAATAGCTCAAATCCCACAGAACTAAAAAGACAATGTATAGGCTTTGGAGCAATATATCTCGTGAAAAATCTCAACATGGGAAGAATTGAATGGAAAGGAAAAGTTGAAAATCCACCTTCATCAACAAGAGTCAAATTATGGGCTATACTTTCAGTCTTATGGATAATCCCTAATAAAACTTCAATAAAAATAATCACAGACAGTGAATCCTCAATTAAAGTAATTAAAGGCTACACCGAGGAATGTAAAGGAAAACACTGGAGTAATTACAGTAACCCATTAATACTGCAAACAATCAAAGAATTAATCTATACAAAAGAAATTGATTTAGAACTGGAAAAAATCAAAGCACACCAAGGGAATTACAATAATGAAAGAGCAGACGAATTAGTAAAATTTGGATCAAATTTAGGATCTATCTTTTCAATAAATCCTAAATATTTACAAGAGCAACAATTTAGACATAAATGAAATGGTAACAATATTGACATGTCAATTAAGGAACTTATTAAAACAAAAGGAGAAATTGAATCAATTATCTCTTGGTTATATAACATTGAATTTATAAATGGCTAAACAAAAATATAAGGAAAGAAACTAACTGGAAATGGTCACAAGAGGTGTGGCAACAATCTAAAATCACTGACAACAAAACTTCAACTAGAGATAACTCACTTTGCTCTTTCTCAATAAAACTGCTAAATGAGGAACTCCCAATAATGAAAGTATTACATACACGAAAACCTGAGATATATAAGGAAAAGAAATGTCCCTTTTGTAATATTTATGATGAAACCAATACACATGTATTTATGTGCAAGGACACTCCAAATACTTTAAGAAATACTTTTTGTTATATTATTAAAAAAGTATTCACACAAGAAACAGAAAAGAAAACTAATTTAGATATGTTAAAGAAAGTACGCAATAGTCACTTTCTCCAAGTAGATATTAGAAGACAAGTTAGAGACACCCTCCCTGTTGACTGGTTTACATATAATGATCTAGTCAAACATCAGGAAATTTAATTAGGCGTCGATTTACGGAATATCACATGACCTCCGGAAATTTCCGCCTGAAAATTTTGACTTTTTAACTTTGGCCAAGATTTAGGCGACAGGGAGCGATTTTCTACTAAGATGTTTCTAAGATAGATCGAAAGCCCT